AGTATTGAGGCAGAGATCTTGTGGCCCCTTCCAGGCGGTTCGAAGGTGAATGTTCCCGCTCGCGTTCAGGGACGACATTCACATGCCTTATTCCAGGGGGCCCTTCTGAGGAAGCTCTTTGGGCAATGGACCTACTTTCGGAGGGTGAACTCAAGGAAGGCCATTCATGATATTGAAAGTGTTTCTGGCAATATCCAATCCTGCCCGAAGGAATTGAAGTGTGTCTGTTCGTTATTCAGATAAGCTTGCAGATGTAGGGTGTTGAACTCCACATTCTGACTGTGGCATTTCAGGATGCAAGTGCTGGTCAGGTGTTGTGCATCAGGCAGCCAGGTCTAAGACTTCAGCGGACAACTGCTCGAATTCACTACAAAGTACCAGTTCTTTGAACCTGTTTCCCCAACTGATCAATTGCTTGCCGATGGTAAACCGAGCAATTTGGCCTGGCGTTTCCTCAAAGCTCGTTTGAAAGCACCGAAGGGCCGCCCCTCGCACGTTCAGCTATTTGGCATATTGAAAGCGGGAAAGGGAACAAGGACAATGACTGTGATGTACGTTGTTGCTATTATTTGCCCTTATCTGGGAATTAATTGTTGTTTGGAGTTTGAAGCCCTACAAAGTTTCAGCTGTACCTCATTTGATGGGCGGGGTGCTGCACGAGTCCCTGGGAGCTAGTTGGATCTAAGGCTGCCTCGACTGAGAATGCCAACAGCGAGCCATCCAACTCTATCACGGGTAGGCTGGGCCAGATCGCAGGTTTGAACAGGCCTTCAGTTCAACCGACACCTCATAGACATGGGAGGTATGGAGGAATGGATGAGGGTATGATTGACCACACAGCAATATAGAGGGCAAGTGGAGTAGAGTGGTCGAGTGAAGACTGGAGCACGGAAGTAGGTTCGAGTGCAATCAACGGATACGTGGCAGTGGCCTCCTTAAAGGCAGGGGATGCCCTTTGGGCACTCTTTTGTGACCCTCTTTCGAAGGACAATAGAAAGGGCACCAGGCGTCGACAGGAGCAAGCCGACGGGGTGCGGCAGGTGGGCGGAAGAATCATGAGCCCTGAAGGCGTCATGGCAAACCTGGACCGAACCTCCCCACAGGTGCATTAGGCTTATTCATGCGTGTCACATGCAACATGCTGCAGGTCGAGTGCAGAAGATTTGGGTGAATCACTGCATATTGTTTGGCAAGCTCGCCGTGGCACAATATAGGCTAACCCATGATGAAGGCCCCTTGTTGATGGAGACCTCGATTCAGGTTGGTCGACTATTGGTTGCGTGGAATAAGAGTTAGGAACATAACAGCAGGGAGCTCATGGCGGTTTCCGCTCCCTTTCAACCATCCACATACCGAATATGCACAGCGGGCCAGAAGTCAAGTCAAACTGATGTTCTGAGTTTCTAGTTGAAACGTTTTGGACAGAACGTTCTAGTGGTAAACAACAAGTTCAGACTTGTTCGGTCCTCTTAGAAAGTCAGAGCACTAGCAATTGTCTTGGACTCCGAACATGGTTTATGGATCCAAACAACATTACAATGGAGGTCCTGACCCCTGCAACAGAGTCCCATGATGCTTCGGCAGTAACTTCGACCCCTCACGTGACTAAGATGTCGGGGCGCAGGCATGAATCAAACCGGTCTACGTGCCTGGAAACTTCGGGGGCCGCTGGGCAAGAGCTTGGACGGACTTCGAACGGGAGCTTCAGATCCCATGGAGTCCGGTTTGCGGAGACTCAATCGTTCCAGTTTGTGCAGAAGTCAACCATCCCTGGGTTTCAGTCTGCCCGTATGGGGTCGAAACAGGAAGCCCTGAAGTACATTGCTCCTTGCTTGACACGTCTCTGGGCGCGTTCTCACGAGCTCTCCCATTCGGGGGGGGGGGGGGGGGGTAAAACGAGCCATGAAGGTTTCTTTGGTGCACATTTTGTGTGCGCGTGTGTTTGTCTTTTTGCCCAGCCGTGTGAACCTTTTCAGGGATTCCTGGCAAGACCACTTTAAATGGGATCAAGAAAGCAGCTCATGTGTGTATCTTCTCGCCGAAGAGACATGCATGCTTCCGTTCGGATTTCACGGTGTTGCGTTTTTGGACAGTCTCCAAAGTCGTCATTTGCACGCAACCAAATTGAGGGTCCCTCCGACCCTGGCTCACAGCGATGAAGTTCGGGACAACCAACAGAGCATGTTTACTCAGACCCCCGCTTTTTGGGATTTTATAGGAGTTGTCTCAAAATAAGGGAGCCTCCCCCCTACGGGTTGGTTTCCGATTGATTCTAGTATGTTAAAGCAACAGCAAAAAGGCACCCCCAAAAAGACACCCGCATGTGAATTTTCCAGGGAGGGACTCCAGCAAGGCGACTGTGTTTCCTTCTTTCCCAAGTGCAGGTGTGATTCGCCTAGAAAACTGTCAAACAATAATGGGGACCAGTTCCCGCCTCAGCGCTTGACCGGCCCAGGAGGGGAGCGATTCTTCATCTTCGCAAAGTGGCCGCACGTCTACAGTGCCTACGGCAGCACTCTGAGAAGCATCCACTAAGTCGAAAGCCCAAAACCGGCCGGCAAAAAACATCCAAAAAGGTTCTACTACCTGGCTTGATTGGGATTATGGTAAGTCCTATGGTGGATTCGATAACATCTCGGTGGCGGCTGTTTGCCTGCGAGGGGGCACACGGATTATCGGGTTGACAATTTTAATCGAATCGACTCCAATCAAATAAGGCCAAAGTCGTGTTTTGACAACTTCATGCCAGCAAAACACACTGAGCAGGAAAGCGAGCTTGGGGCTTGGCCACCTACGTTTGAGGCAAGCCCTGGACCCAGCCATGGGCAAATACCACAAATCCTTTTCTCGAACCCACAAAGCGCTTGCTGCGCTGACAAGGGCCACCCCCAGCGCCAGCCCTGGGGCACGCCCAGGTCTTGGAAATCCATACTCCATGACAAATAATTAGTTCATAGTTGCATGCGCATTTCGCTTCCGAGAAGTGCGCAAGCTAAAAGCCAAGGTCGGCAGACTGCAAGTGAAGTGGATGATCTATTCAAGATGTTGTGGTGTTCCAGCTACTTTCACCATCTTTCACCCAACTGTATTCACGGTGAAACCTTTTTGGGCAGGGTTCTCTTCTTTGCGGAGTTGAGCAGAATTTGACATAAATTGTCCTTGATGCTCCTTGTGCATTGTAGCTTGATGCCCGACGACTCAACATTAGCTGGCCTGCGCCCGGAAACCCCGGTAAAAAGAGACTTCCCTATTTAGGGAAACACACTGTATACCTAATATATATATATATATATTGGGATGAACAAAGTTGTGACCAAACAGCCACAAACATGCGTGTTGTGGAGGAGATCACCATTGTTTCAGGCCTTGTTTGCCAGCTGCTTCAAAAACCGCAAGCAAAATAAATTATAGGGAGCCTTGTCGTGTGACACCATAGCCAGCACCCCTGGCCTGAATTTGAGGAAAAGGCGTCTTGAGCCTATACGAGACCTGCCAATCGTTCTCATCCCGAAACCCCCTGCTGTACAAGGGGGGTCCGTTAAAATCAGCTGGCAAGGGTGATCGTTTGACTGGCCCAAATGTAGTCTTTGAGGCACCCTGAGTATGGTGGGGTCTGAGCCTCACTTGTGCAATTCTCCTCCTCGAAGGCAACCACTTCCCTTGCAAGAGTTGCGGCTGTGTTTTTCCTGGCATCACAAGGCCTCGTGGTCTCGTCCGCGGACGTACCCAGGGATTGACCTTTCACATGGTGCAGTGGTCGTAGGGATGGCCCGTTTTGGTTTCACAGAACGTGTTGCACAACCCTGTACAAGGCTGCGTAATAAAAGCCAGTTGCACTGATAGGGTACTAAGGGGGAGGGGTCAGGGGGGGGGGGGGGTCAAATCACATCAAGCGGCGCACGCACAAGCTCAAACATGTTTGAGAGATACTATCACTCAGGCTCACTGCTTTGTTTTCCCACGGTTTGCTGCCCGATGCTTTGCATGTCATGCAGCTTCCAAAAAAAGCCTTGCTTCAAGCAGAAGAAGTGCGTTTAGCAGCTCTTCATTTGAAGGGGCTTTGTAGTCTGAGCTGTATTCAGCAGAGTCCTGGAAAAAGCGATGGTAGGTGGTCTCTATGAAGTTAAACACAATTGCAAGGCTTTCAACTTTGCGAGTGCGATCGTCCGGGTCATCAGAGACAGGCCATGTCGATGTTTTTGTCCTCTGCGCGTCTCCCATACCTGAGATGAGTTGGAGCTAGGAGAACCCAACTACATAAACCCGATCAGTTGAACCCAACATTTTGAGAGTGGCAGTGGTGTTTTTTGCCGAGTGCCAAGATTCGTTCTTTGTGGATAAACTCGATTGTCACCCTCCGGCTTGATGGCATCCACTTCAAGTACAGGTGGCTGAGGATTGGGAAAAAAGAAAGGAACTCCCTGGGAGCTTTCACTTTGCGGCGCGCCAGCTCGTCATCACTTAGCCCAGACAAGCCCTTGTGGATTGGCTCTGGCTCTGGCACGGATCGCTTCAAAGGACCCTTCCCGGTTGCTTGCTTAGAAGCATTCACATCTTCAGGCCCCTTTGTCACCGACTCCATTGCTGCCTCCTTTGCAGCACGTGTTTTCAACGCACTTTGGCGAAGCTTTCCAAGCTCAAGTTCATCCACACATTTTTTGCGAAAAGGGTTGAAATGTTGGGCCTCGTTTGTGTCCAAGCATGCCACCAGTTTGATCAACAGGTCTGCTGACTCTTCTGGCTTCACATTCCTTCGAACAAGCAGGGATGCGACCATGTACTCTTTGGCTTGCGGTTCACTGTCTGGAAACAGGGCATTGACCAAGTACATCGCCAAGTCATACTTCACAACGTTCCCGTGTTTCCCTGATCCAGTACCCGGCTCTGGGGCACCCAATTCTCGTGCTGACAAAACGGATCTGATTTGGGTGACTGTCAGGAAATGTCCTTTCTGAATTGCTGATTTCACAATGTCCGCAGGCTCACCCACTATCTTGAAAGCAAAGGGAACTTCCCCGTACACGGGTTCCAGGCACGCGGGTGGCAATACTTCAGTGGGGATGTACTTGAAGTGGCAAGCATCACTGATATCATAGTTGACGATCCATTTCGGAAGCCGTAGGTTGGCAGGTCGGACGACCAAAGAGTCCTGGAAAGTCAAAGGGAGTATCTCGCAGCTTTGGGGCTCAACTCAATTCAGGAAATGCGTGGCGCGTATTGGGTGTGTAGCTATGAATTCTCAAAAGGGGCCCGGACACTTTGTTAAAGGCTGTGAGGCATCACCAGTCCGTCCTTCTCCCGAGAAACCGGGATCGCTTGGCATCCATAGCGCATAAATCCCAATGAGATGTGGTATTCGCCAGACTTCGTGTTCAGGTAAAAGGATCCACGGCAGAACAGACAACCTGCGCACCGAGCAGTATGATTACACACTGTCACCTTGCGCATTTCAACTTGGGCAAACTCGAACAGACGCAGTTCGCAAACCTAAACATTGACACCAAGCAGCCCGCCCAGCAGTGAGAGACATGTTGGAAATCATGTGGGGCATCATGGAGCACGAATGCGGATGCTGCGGCAGCGTTCCTGTTGCTATGAAATCCAGCAGCCCGCCACTTGCCCATGATTTGGGAAGGACGCGGGAAGTCTTTGCTCAGCGGTGTTCTCAAGTAGTTGAAGGGGTTCGAGCCTGTCACTTGGCAGTCCCTGAATCCTGATTCCAGTAGATCCCGGAAATCTTCTGCACTCGGCACAATATTTTTCACTCCAGCGTGTTGGGCGTATGGATTCATCAGGCAATAGAAGTACTTTGTGAACAAGTTGAACTTCTTTGCTTTGGAAGCCCTCAGTGAGTCCTTCAAGTGGTTGAAGCAAGATTCAAGGCAATCTTTCGTGCAACCTGGGCCCCCAAAAATGGAGAAACATAATCGCCGAAAGTCTGGGTTTTGCCACGAAAAGCCAGGTTTCATGATCCTGACCAAGAGTTCCCGGGTCAGTTGCCATTCACAAGTTCCCAAATCATCGTACAACTGCCTGAGCGAAGCATGGTTGGGCTTGGCCAGCATCAAGTCTTCCAACTTGAGAATAGCTGTGGCAAGATTGAGGCAAAAGTTCTGACAACGAACGCGGTCATCAATTGCCGTGGCAAATATAGCAGCTGTGCAGTAGGGTAGACTGAGAGTCCAGAATGCCTGGGACCAGCACCGGTTCGCCATAAGCTCAATTGCAAAGGCTGCATATTGTTCAAGAAGCCTTTTCTCTTGTTGCACTCGGGGATCATGAGGCCACAAAGTGCCCTTCTCATTCATGGGTTGGGGGTAGAGGTCAAACAAGTTGATGATGCTGGTGTCTGAAAGCAACGCCAAGGTTTTGACAACCGTCACCCTGTACCATCTGCCGGAGGCGCGGTCCCCATGCCAACGCACAACTGATTCCTGACCTGCAGAGTGCTGTTGCAAATCGTACACGTACTCTGAGTGAAGGGGTCCAATCACGTGGCAAATTGCCCTCAAGCGTTTCTGTAACATTCTGTCACCCAGCAAATCGGCGACAAAGGCCGCCGTATTTGGGTAAGTCTCCCGAAGCAAATTGAACGACGCCCTGGTTTGCGGGTCCAGCTCGTCATCCTGTGGCCCCCTGTTCTCATCATCCTGGGTGACCAGAGATAGCATGGACAAGGCTAGCCTGAGCATTTTACCTAAAGTTGGGAGAGAGGTGTTAGTTGCTCACAGAGGTGTTAGTTGCTCACACCCCTTAATTGGCAAGGCTCAGACTGATCCTCCTCATCGTTGGGCGCATCTTGCGCAGCCAGGGTCTGCTGGGCATACCGAGTTGTTGTTGCTAAGACTGTCCAGCTCTGGTCCAGCATCCGGTACGACTCCAAAATCCCAAACCAACTTTTGTTTTTCGCCTGGCAAGGGGCTTCGAGTCAAAGCAACAAACCGCTGTAGGAAACAGATGCTTCTCACTTGCCACTAGCTAAGTCTGGCTAGCTTTGCCTCTATCCTGGGCATGTTAGTGGTGAACGGGTTGGTGACATTAGACTAGACTCTTGTTTCGCGCACCCTGCCTTTTTCAAGCGCCCAGAAATTCCAGGTGACTGAAGCCAATCATCCGCTGTTACAAAAACAGATTCTTCAGGAACACGCTTGTCAAAGGCGATGTCGTGCGCGAATGACTGAAACCAAGATTCAGATTTGTCGAACAGCAACGCCTCGGCGGCCTTGCCCGTTGTATAGTGCGTGCGGCCTGATGTGAAAGGCCCAGACCCCGAATTGCATATGAGGGTTCCTTTCAGCGTTGAGCCTTTCAGGCCACTGGCTTCGATAGCCCTGCCCCAATCTCCCCATTGTGCATGACTTGCGTCAGGAAAGGCTGCCCCACGCAGCCCCAACGCGAGAAGTAAATTGATGGCCCTGAAGCCGACGGCTTCTTCGTCACAAGCCTCATTGGCAAAACGGTAGAGTTCAGTCTGTTGGTGTGGTGTTGGCATGAGACTTG